TTTTCTTTACGGCAAATATTAGAGAAAAAATTGGAGTATAACGGTATTGTTCACCAGCTGTATATAGATTTTAAAAAGGCTTACGATTCTATTGACCGCCAGAAACTGTATAATATTCTAATCGAGCAGGGGATTCCAAAAAAACTAGTAAATCTAGTCAGGATGTGCTTGACGGAGACACTCAATAAAGTTAGAATCGGTAATAATTTGTCCGAAAAATTTGAGGTTCGTTCGGGCTTAAAACAGGGGGATTCTCTTTCGCCTGTCCTGTTCAATTTGGCATTAGAACATGCCATTAGGGAGGTAATGCGTACCGAGAAAGGGTTGGATCTGGGCGGGACAACATCCGTGCTGGGCTATGCTGATGATCTGGTACTGTTAAGCGAAGACGTTGAAACTATAAAACTAAATACGACAACGTTAATGAAAGCCGGTAAAGAACTAGGACTCGAAATAAACGTGGATAAAACAAAATATATGGTTAGCTGCAAAAATGGCGATACTACTGGTGATATCGATATAGATGGTAATATGTTTGAACAGGTAGATAAATTTAGGTATCTAGGTTCTACGATAACTAGAAAAAACGAAATTGAAGAAGAGATTAAAGTTAGACTGAAGGCGGGGAATGCTTGTTATTTTTCTGTGACAAAACTACTCAGTTCGCGCCTCTTGTCCCGGAACTTAAAAATTAGAATCTATAAAACAATTATCTTGCCTACAGTTCTTTATGGATGCGAAACTTGGCCGCTTACATTAAGGGATGAGCAGCGTCTTAAGGTTTTTGAAAATAAAGTATTGCGTAGAATATTCGGACCGAAGAAGGATGAGTTAACCGGAGAGTTCAGACGGTTACACAACGCCGAATTGCGTGAGCTATATCCGGGTAATATAATTGAGGTAATTTCATCGCGGCGAATCAAATGGGCTTGTAAAGTTGTTGGGCTTAGTAACGAGAGAATTCCTAAAAGGTTAATATTTGCTGTGCCGAATGGTAAGCGTCGGAGGGGTAGACCGAAGCGAAGGTGGGAAGATTGCATTAAGGCTGATCTGAAGGGACTGGGTTTGGACGGCGAACGGTGGAGGGAGGTGTGTAACAAGCGATTGGTGGTGTCGGCATCGAACCTTCGGGTTCGCTAAGCCTTATTATTATTATTATTATTATTATTATTATTTGTTACAATAAATTAGGCCATTTTTCACCAACATTTTATTAATACGCATCAATTTAACGTTTCGACCATACTAAGGGTCATTTTCAAAACTTGATGAGTCTTCCTAATATGTTCATCCTTAATGTTCTAATTAATAAGTTCAGTGAACATTAAATTGTCAATTTTTATAGGGGCTTCGCCCACGTCATTTCTAGAGGGACGAGCCCCTATAAAATTGACAAGTTAATGTTCACTGAACTTATTAATTAGAACATTAAGGATGAACATATTAGGAAGACTCATCAAGTTTTGAAAATGACCCTTAGTATGGTCGAAACGTTAAATTGATGCGTATTAATAAAATGTTGGTGAAAAATGGCCTAATTTATTGTAACAAATAAAAAAACTTCAAGACACCAAAATTAGGAAAAATGAACAGAAGAAAAATTTAATTTTTTTTTCTAAGTCTACAAATAATACAACTGTGTCCAATTTCGAGAAATTCTGGGATGGTGAGGTTCAGAACGTGTTGAATTGACAAGAAATGATCCATTTATGTTCGGAAGCTTGTTTTAGATCTCTTATTTTTTTCTTTTCTTTTTTTCCTAAATAATTAAAGCTGGTTGTTACTAACGAACTTAAAATATTTTAAGTATTTATTATGGTCTATAACTATGGCTAAGTCTATTGAAAAATAAAATATTTGTTTATAAAAGCATATTAAATATTAATCATAAAATAAGATGTATGCTATTTTACATTGATGCCAGAAATTGGATTGGAAAAAAATAATGATTAACCTCCCTTAATGTTTCTAATCTTATTGATTAATATTGTCATTTACATACGTTGCAACTTATAAAATGAAATTTTTTTTTTTTTTTAAATCTTATTTATTGAAAAATATTACAATCTGTCTCTAGGTCAAAAATGAAATTACCAACTAACAATTTTTTTTTTTATTTAGATTTATAGGCAATAAATTTAGAAATTCTTATTTCTCAATTAGGAATAGATATAAAGTATAAAGTTTCATTTTACAATCTCGGAAGTTTTTATGACGATTAGAAATGGCTTTTATCGCGCAATGGAAAATTTAAAAATGAATACAAAAATAAGCCAATTTGATTTTATTATGTTATTAAAGTTGAATCGATTTTATTGACGATAGTCATAAAATAATATACTATCATATCTGAATAATTGCATACACATAAATTTTATATTGGTGAGTAGAACATTTCCCTGTTGCGTATTGGAGGTGTGTTATTAGCGTTGATTTTTTTTTTTTTTTTTTTTTTTTTTTTATATAACCGTTTTATATTTCACCGTAGCTAGATAAAAACTTATTGATTTTATGTTATGCTTCGCCTATCTAACGACATTAATGTTTTACTTATTTCGACATATATAGTATCGGCACTCAAGCAAAAGTCATCAAAGTCTAAAGTAGTAAAATACTTGGCCTTTACAGTTTATTTTTCACTTATCAAACCATATATTTTTACCTCGGAAACACCACTAAGTCATGAAATGCCTTATTTGACTGTATTTTAGTGAATAATTCTATTTACTCCATCTAGTTGTATTTCATTATGAATCTTTGTAATCATAATCATTCGAAATTCACCAACTGAACTTAATGACCTGCCTAAAAATAAATAGTTTGAAGAGTCTTCAAGATTAATAAAATATTTTAGTTTCATACCGAATGAGGAGTGATCTACTCTTCTTTATTACAGAGATTTGAAACATATATAAATTGTTCAAAGTGTTATAAATATTGTTTTGAGAGATTTATAGGAAATCAATTTAGGATTCCCTGTAAATAATCTATTTTTTCTTTAGAAATATAAAATGTTTCATAAAAAATAATTCATAAAAAGTTTCATTTTACCATCTTGGAAGTAGGGTAAGCGCACCAGTGGTGGACATGGCTAGCTTAGGATTTTTTTTTGTTTTTTTCTTATGTCGCCGTAATTATTATAGTTATAAACTTCTCCGTTGGACATTCGAAATCTCCAGAGTCTCCTTTTTATATTTAACAATTTAAAATCGAGAAATTATTCAGTTATCCAGTTATAATCTCCATTTAGAAAAAAAAAAACACTTTTTTGCACTAGTGATGGACATACCGAAATTCAATTGTTCTAGTGATGGACAGAGGGTCGGTACAAGTTATAGAACCTCAGAAACATTCTAAAATCTTTATTTAACTATAAAGATAACGATAAAGATAACATAACATAAATGTTCAACTTAGTTTTAGCAAAACTGTTACTAGGAAGGTATGAAACACACTGATCTCAAGAACACTATAGAAACAAAATGATTGACTAATTTTTTTTTTAATTTGTAATCACTACAATCCAAAATCCTTCGTAAAATCCTCAATGCTCCCTACTTTGTCACAAATAAGATCATCCATAACGATCTTAATGTACCACATGTTTCCGATTTAGCTCTATCCAGATACCTATTCTTCCATAATAAACTTCTGAACCATCCGAACCCTCTTGGTTCCAACCTTACTTCCTCTTCTATTCCCTATAACCCCCCGAGGCGTCTGAAAAGAAGATGTCCTCGGGACCTTCTAATATAGAAATATAATTGGAGTGCTACCAATGGGTAGTTTCTCTTCATGTTGTACATGTCATGTTACTTACAGTTGTATGTGTTGTACAAAATACAGTTGTAAATTACAATAATAATAATAATAAAAAAAAATTGTAATAGCCTCTACCCTACAGGATCATTGGCGGTAATTTTTAAGTATTGAGTTTCTAATAACTATTGGAATAGAGTGGTGACTCCATCCTCGTTTTTTCTTAATATTTCCTTCATTGTTATTTGGAATTTCAGTTTTTGTCGAATTTTTTTGAGCTCATGACACTCTACTGATAGGTGTTTTACCGTCTGCGGTTTATTGTCACACTTTTGGCTAGTGGGGTACTTCTAGTCCTCTGAGAATGTATCCGTGAGTAAAAAGGCAGTGACCAATATGGTTTCCTCCCTTCTGGATTTTCTTGTGCTTGTATCCCATTTGTTACACTCTGTTTTTATTTCTAATAGTTTTGACTGTTTAGTTTTCCATTTGTTTTCCCAATCTTTCAATAACTTCTTTTTTGTCACGTGTACCCAGTCTTCTACTGTGGTACAGTTTATTGAAATTATGGTTGGCACCTCTCCTTTTCTTGCTAAATTAGCTGCTTGGTCTGCTCTTTCATTGCCTAAGATACCACTATGAGATGGAACCTAGACAAATACTACACTAAACGTTTATTTATCCCCATCATAGATTCAATATATCTGTTATTAGGGAATATCTTGGGCGTGGGTTATCAATTCCTGCCATGAAGCTTTTGGAGTCCAATGCTATCATCCATTTATTGTCATTGGAATTTAATATCTAATGGAGGGCCTTCATGATTTCAGTAGCTCCTCGAGTAAATATGGTGTGCTCTCTCCAGGTAAGCTAAATAGGAGCTGGTACTGGTTTTCATTAATATATACAGCGCAGCCTAAATGAATTTAAAAATTTTCTATCCGGAACTTTCTTCATGTAGTATTGTTCATAGAGGTATTGTTCTTCGATCTAGAGAAAACTTAATTGGGAAGCTTATTATTTACATTTAAAGTCCAATCTGTTCATCACTGGGCCCCTTGTCCATAACTGGTGCGTTCACCCTAAATGAAGACTTGTTTAAGTGACCAGAAATGGCTTACGTATAAAGCCCTGGCATATATTATAAAATGAGCTATTTTTCTAAGGCATTTATAAATAAGACAATTAGGATAAAAAAAAAAAAGGAATTATATTGCTATTTCTAGTTGTGTTCTGTTTTTATTTTTCTCTGATAACATTCTTTCGATGGGCAACAAATGTAAGTTATACATTAAAGACTATTTTTTAAATAAAAAGAACAATAAATGTAATTTTTTGTTTCTGTAACTTTTCCCTTATTGAACCACTTGGATATAGAATTAGAAACATTCCTGAGGAATTAAATCTACCAAATATGTGTTTCCACAGTTGAGTTGCAACCATATATGCAATAATTTCCTCCAGTATAATCATTCCCAAAACGAGTTTTTCGAGACAGACATGAAATTGGCCTTTTACAATATTCCAACTCAATTCGAAAACAGGTCAAACAGGATTGGTTATATCATAACATGCTCCTTGCGTCCGGAGGTTTTAAATATTGAACACAGTAACTCACCAAACTTCAAAATCAATATTTAATTACTCATAAAATAACAAATAACAGAATTTTTTCTTTACATACTTTTACATTGTTAAGATAGGGCTGATTTTGAATAATAGGAAGGGCACTTCTCGAAAAGTTTTGGGGGATTATATTACAGTGTGTGTACAGCTGCCCTCCTCTCTACTTCCTCTTTTTACTTCTTCTTCAGGTGACTGAAATAGATAAGAAAATATCTTAATTAGTTATTTTATTTTTAATTATACAATTAACCATACATTAATTATCGTTATCCATAAAGTTATAGATAGATTTTTCTTAGATTATGTAAATGTTTTAAATATAAAGTTTTTGAAAATGCCATTAAATGTTTTTTTTATATTAATCTGTACTGAACATATTGAAGGCGACAATATTTTATATTCTTTTTCCATTTTAATTGAAGTTATATATATATATATATTTTTTTTGGGGGGGGAAGGGAGGGGGGAACTCAGTTTTAATATTTCCTGAAATATTAAAAATCTTATTTATGTCCTTAGAACTACCATTAATTATTACTTTTAGTTCTACTTTTAGAATTAACTATACTTTGAGTCGTTTTAGTGCGTATAATGAAGTATGTACCTTTGCAAAACTTTTAGCTCAATGAATCTTAAATCAAATTTATTGCTCTAACAGAAATAATTACTGATGGAATTGGAAAATGAAATTAATAACATTAAATTATTTATCTTAATTGAATATCGGGCGCAATTGTTTGGATTCAAATTACTAATTAAAAACGCTGCAAATTATTTCACAATGATTTATTATTTCCAAATAATCATAGATCTAAGATAACATTACCTTTATAGTAACAAAGAAAAAGAAATAATAGGTGATTCCTATTATTAGCCTAAATATTTTTTATTCAATCTTTAGTAATTTGCTAAAAAAATAGGTTTACTTCAGTAACACTTTAAAAAAATAATAAGCTAAAAAAAGGATAAAATCTTTTCAGTAGAACATATAAAAAATATCTAGAGATCATATCTTTGCTTCAAATAGTACAATATTGACAAAAAAGTGTATACTTTTTGAGTTATTTGGAAATCTAATTTTAGCTTCCCTCGTAACATTTTTTCACCTTCTTTTCGTCAAAGTATGTTATATAGATAAATGGCATCGAGAAGAAGACCAAATTTCATTGAAATCGGTGTATTCGTTTAGGCGCTACAGTCTATAGAAACATAAGTTTCTCGGACGCCATCTTAAAACGAAAAGGCGGATAGTAATGTAGAAGGATCATCCTTGGGATCATTTTAAATCCAAATTTGAAAAATAATCGGTCTGGTAGTTTTGTAAAAATACGCGGACGGCGGACGGACAAAAACATTTTAATCGATTTTCGAATTCTACGTGTTCTAAAACGTAAAACCTCAAATTTGAGGGGAGGGGGTTAAATTTTAGAATTTTTCGGTCGATTACAATGGTTCATTATTGGAAATAATAAACCAAAATAAAATATGATTAATAAATATTGTAAAATGTATGCATTTTTTTTTAAATTTAACTAGAAATGTTTTGTGAATATATACCTGATGAAAATGTTTTTTTATTGTCATTATGTTTTATTGTCTTGAACCATTTATGATTCATAAACCTTGTTTATCAATAGCTTGCGTATGTATAAGATAGCACATACTTTTTACATGTTTATTTGTAGTTTCTTGTACACTGTAATGGTCTCGTAATTTTTACGACTCTTAATTTCTATTTCTTTAATCCTTTACATGTGAGGTCTTAGGGAGTGGAGGCAGACAGGAGGCAGTTGGTTAGGCAACGGATCGTGACTAAAAGAGGTTCGGTTAGTTACATGATTGCCTCCACCTTTGGTATTTAACTCGAGAAATATAAATGGAACTCCCGGTTTTATATTGGAATCCTTGGAACAATTCATTTCTACAATCCAAGAAAAAAAAAATCTCTGAAACCAAAGGGAAGAGATTTTTGTTTAATTTCTTTGTTGACCACATCGACTAAAAATAGTCTGGAGAATTCGTATATCGTACACTTAATAGGATAAATACAGTAAGTGCTGTAACTGCGTATTAAATTTGAGTATTCGGATAAAAGTCGAGGATATTCATTTAGTCTATATTTTCCCAAAATTTGGACTTCAAAATGAACAATAATCTACTATGGTTTTTTTGGAGGAATAATAATCATATGCACTCATATGATTGTAATGTAGTTTGATGTACCATTTAACTTTATGATTTTTTAGCCTTGCAATTGAACTGTTCTATATTTATTATTTACATTGATGAAAGCGCCAACAAGTTTACTCATTACAAATGTCTAATTATTGTGTAATTGGTATGGAGAATATCGCATCTACCAGGATGGCACGGCTCCAAACTTCCTTTCCGAGCATTCGGTCATCAATTCTTTGGATTCATCTCATTCCAGTCCTTCAAGGAGAAACAGTTCTTTTCTTCTTGTTATTCTCTTTTGCATTGACATGCCAACTCTGTGAGGCGTGAGGATCAGTCAAAAAGGTCTTTTGAAATTCCTAAAGTTATCAGATTCAGTTGTAACAAAGTACTGATTTTGAGCTACTTAATGCAGTTGTTAAGAGGTTAAGGTTAAGGTTAAGAGGCTACTTCATATTTTTTTTTATTGTAAGTTTACTTTAATTTTTTTTTTGTAAGTAATAAATAATGCAAAATGTTACTCAACGGTGATATGATATTATAAACTAGTTTTTAATTTTTTTAATTGCGTTAAATTAATATTATGCATCCTTGCTTCATACATGATGAATGCCATATGAAAAAGTCCAACTAATTAACTAAATAACATAATTTTATGCTAAAAAAAAAAGAAATCCTAAACGAAAACTGCCTTGACAGAAAGTACCATCAGTTTATGCAATCCATGCAAAGTATTTAAAGAACACAACATGTTTCGAACAACATAAAGAAGACTTATAGTACTTCAGCGTAAACGATATGTTTAGTTCCTTTTTCTTATGATAATAATAAATATCGATATTCCCTGCAATCTGATTCAGGTAAAATCATTCAGAATCGGAATGTTTCCACGGATCGGAATACCATTTGAAAAATATAATCAGTCCAAAACTAAAAATATTATATATTTATTACCAAATAAAACTCCTCTGGCGTTTAAAAGAAAACAATTAAAACATATATTCTCAAGCCTGTAGAATATGTCTCAACTGGAAGGTACCTAGTATGGTATACTAACAGGCCACATTGTTAGAATGCATGAGAAAGATATGCCAAATAAAATTATTGAATCAACCATTTCCCTTAAACTTTAATAATTTCATGATCTGTTTTTTGCATGCAGATTGGATATGTGAAAAATTATTTTCTGCCTATGTTCATCAGAAATAAAAATATATGGTGTCATACGCGCATCATACAAATTTCCTTTAAAACCATAAGTCCGAATTAATTTTGAATATATTAAAATCCATTTAAAAATATAATTTAACTATAAAAAGTACCGTGGTGACCGAACTGGTTATGGCGCATTAAAATATGTTTCTAGACAAATGCAATGATGTGCGTTTTATTCTCGGATTGGAATTCCGCAGGGAATAATTAATAATTAAAAAGGAAATATTTAAATAACCTGCTCTTTCCTTTCCTCTTTTCGGGTGTTTTCCTGGTAAGTCGGTTTTAGAAAAAACAAAAATAATGAGAGAAGATCCCAGGCATATGCTTACCTTACCACAGTTGGGTAAGTGAAAGTTTAAATCATTGTTGAAAATATGGACTCAAGGGTTATTTTTTTCTAATGCATATAGCTACAATTATAATGTTTGTCTCAATACTTTTTATCTATGTTTGAACTCAACCATTATTTATGTAGTTATTAAAAGTGAATTTGTGAAACCTTGATATAATTACCATCTATCTAGTAAACATTGTACTGTAGTTCCTTCTTTTCTCCATAACTAATTAGAAAGTAAGAATTGCCTGAGAAATCAGCGAAAGGAGTCAACCTTTCCCTAGATGTTCAGTTGTTATGTTGCAGTTGATAATAAACGTTAACAAGGCGTTACAGCCTCTGGTCATACCAGTACGGAGAGGATAAACACCACTTACCATGAAGGTACGTGCTCTGGCTCTTCGCAGGTGAGCGTGTTCTCATCGAGCACTTTACCTTCTCCGCAGGCAATCAGTCTTGGGAATCCATCGACGCAGGTTACCAAGTGGTCACAGTCTCCGGGGATAGCGTACCTTGGGTAGGGGTGGAACTTGGCGGAGATTGAGTTGGGGTCTACCTTGTCTGGGCATTTGAAGCCTACAACAGCTGTGGAAAAAAAAAATTGATATTAACAAATAATAATATTAATAAGAACGAAACATGCAACATATATAAAAGATATTTTTTTGAAAGTAAGCATTTATTTGAATATACATGTTAGGATAAATTTGCTATGTAATGAATGAAAATAATTTCATTATTCCGGGACTAGTGTCCCTTTAGAACAAGTTACAAGTACAGAACATATATTAATATTGTGGTGTTTCCATAAAATGCAATTAAATATTTACACGATGATTAGGAATACAATAAAATTATAGATAGTAAAAAGTTATAAAAACTTGTATAAATATAAAATTAACAGAAAAAGTAAATTAAGTAAACAAAATATCAATGAATCACAACATGTTCAAAGTATCTGGGTGTAAATTAAGATTTTTACAGCTCAGGTTTTTAAGCACATTTCGTGATCATTCGGATTGGGAATGGAGTAGGTGTTTGAAGAAGAGAGATTTGAAATAAGATAGTGACTTTGCGTACAGTATCAAGCAAATATGATATCAAGAAAAAAAAAAAAATCATACAGACAAGAAAAAATATGAATAATACTGAACAAAAGAAAAAAATAAAATAAAAACTTTGAGAAAGAATTACAAAATTTAAAATAAATATAATAATAATACAAACGTTAGTTCATAATTTATAAAATTCCCACCAAACAGCCTTATGTCTCCAAAATGCAGGCAAAGAAAAAACCCGTCAACGTTTCACGAATTTAGGCATCATCAGGATAAGTACAGCTAATCAAGCATCACTTCATGACACCTTATCGCATACTCCGTGTAAGTCCCCGCATACTCCATGACCCCCAATTGGGTTTAATGAAGTGATCTTCGGTTTGTTGTTCTCTACTGTCCTGATATTGTCGGATTTTCTTTGTCTGCATTTTGGAGACATAAGGTTGTCGGATTACAATTTTTCCCATTATAACTTAAAATTTATGTTCTGTTTCTTGGTGAATTTGTTACCGATCTATTTTAATAACACAAATTTAAAAGCACACAGCAAATAGTTTAATGCATCTAGTTTAAAGGACGGTACCTCAGTAGTCTAGTAATGGCATATATGACAGTAGATCGAGTTTAGTTTGTGGAATTGGATTTAGAGTCAGTCCTTCATGAAGATTATTAAAACGGTATGTGACAGTTGCTGTGATGAAAAGAATGTCAGTGTGTGATATAAGATTAGAAACATAAAAGGATACATGAACAATTTTCTGGAGAACTTATCAATCGGGACGATTTAATTGTTTTCATATTTGATATCTTTACTGTTCCCCATTACTCGATGCCCCATGTCCAAAGTAATTTATGAAGACTTTATAAATTGTTAACTTATTGGTCAGTGGCCTTCTGTCAGTTAACGTCTGCCATGTTGCCTAGAAAGAATTATTTTAGTTTTTTAGCCTATAGGTCTATTCTTTGCTATCTTATGAGTATGCCCATGTCAATCGATTATCCAAGTAGATACACAAATATTGTATTTTTTTGAAAAGGGTATAGGGATATAGTTAAGAAATACATGAAGATATAAGGAAAAGAATATTTACAAAAAATATTAAAGAAAAAATGCTGTAATCTAAAATATAACTATTCTATCAGTTTCATTTTATTTACCTGGTGTTATTCTGGTGATTAGGACATGATTGTGACTATAATGGCGCCCAGAAAAAGGTTAGGGCGAAAATTTGGTCGTTGTAATTATCTTAATATTGATTCCCATTAAAATAAATAAAAAATTCATTTGGAGTTAAAGTTAATGTTTGTGTATAATATAATTGATATTTGAAATTGAGTGCAAAGAAATTTTTACTTGAAAAAAATGTTTTTAAATTCACTAAGCTTGTATGTAGAATTAGTATAGCTGAGTGTTGTTAGTTAAAAACTGTAAAACGTTGTTGAGATCTAGCATATTTTTGATTTTATTAAGTCAATCAGTCGGTTTCTTTTTTTTTTTTTTTTTTGCATTAATAATTAAGAAATAATATGCCGAAATGGTTAAAAATATACCAAATCATTGTTTAATATTAAGGAGGAATCATTCTAATTGACTTTTTTATCTTGTTTTGATTGGATCATGTACTTAAAAAATGATGTTTCAAGTTGCTATACAATTAATTCTCAGAGTAAAAACTACAAGTTAGTTCGTGTTTTTAGAAAGTAATCTAAAGGTTTTAAATAAATAAATTATTATAACGTAATTATATAACTATCTTAGTCATGATGCTGAGAAAATTCCACACCTGTGGTTCAGAAACATAAATAACATATAGAAACAACAAAGAGAGAATTTATAGATTTTAGTTCTGAATTTAAGAGTTCGAAACATGATGTTACACATACTTTGAAGAAAGAACAGCTTGAAATTTTTATAACAAGTATTAGAAGGAAAATTGAGCTAATTGAAGAATTCTGAAAGGTCTTAAACATAGAATTAGGGTATATGTAATCAAAATAATACTGCTGAAGTGGGCAGTTACAGTTGCTGGTATGCTCGATAATATCAATTATTATACTTAATATTATCATACTATACTATAAATTATGCTTGATAATATCACAAAATGCTGTAAACTTATTAATAGGATGCGGACTGCATTTAGAATTTCTGGTGTTTAATATTGGGTCAGTGAACCAGGAAAATAATGATATATTAACCCATTGATCGCATTGTTTACATTTTATGTTGAATGTATAATTGTGTTATCGCAATCATCCATTTGAATATGTCGTTGGATTTAAGTTTTGATCTTTATAATGATTTGGAATAGGATAGTGAAATAAGAAGATTAGAAAACCTTTATTACTATAACTCATGAAGGGTCTTGGATTCAGTACCTTCGATGGAAACACTGTTTCTTGGCTAACGGTTATATAAGAAGATGATTACGTCAAGATCACACTAAGTTGTTTTCCTCCTCAATCAATTGAATAATTAAAGGTACTAACTTTCAAAGAGGCCGGGTGTGTCCCAATAGAGTCTCTCAATGGTCAAAGCCTGATTACAGAGAATAAATAATTATCTGCCACATTCTTACTCGAACTTGGGTTTTGAGTATAGAAGCACGGTGTCTTACTTACTGAGGAATCCCACTTCCACGTCCATGATTGATTTAATTTTGTTCTATAAAAATATTTCATTAGAAATAACCGACATGAATCCTCTGACAACTTGAATAAACTTAATATTACTTCTCTACAGTCCGAATCAAACGTGTTCCAAGTTTTATTTTCTCAAAATAATCGTCAGGCATGAGTTTTATTAGTTTTATTCACTTTATTTATTAGAGTCTTAGCTATAAATGCGTGAAGAGAACACATCACTTTAAAGGATACCTTAATGCAAACGAAAGTTCTAATAAATTAACATAAAGACCCCGAAAAAGAAATATCAGTTTTAAGTTGAATATTTCAACATACGTTTTAAATATTTAAATTATTGGAATGTGGACGGGGAGAGGAAGATGTAGATAACCTGGAGATTAGATTAGATTCGACAATGTTTGCTTAACTTATCAACAAAATCATTTAAATTATTTTATGTACCATACCAAAGCACTATTAATATTGGATACACGAAGTTTATAAATATAGTTCGAGATAAGAGAGAAGAACAATAAAACTGATCAATCTTAATCGACAATATCTAGTAAGAGCTAACAAAAAAGGGATAAAGCTCTGCGGGACCAACTTTGAAAGTACCGAATTTTATAATTTGTTCATTCACTGCTATAATTTTTTCCTCCTTCCCATATCTGTCCGTAGAGCTCATAACGTAGAGGCCAGAATTAATACGAGTGATGGGGCGCTATCCCTAATGAGTCCAGAATAATAGATTCTGCCATACTCTGCAGATGGTTTTCCAATCCAGATGGTTTCCACACCCTGGTTTTCCAAAAAATTATCAGTTGAAAGTGGAATCGCTCCTGTTCTCAAACCAATGTTCTCAAACTTATATATAAAATAAAATGCGTTACGTTTTATTATTCCTCCAACTTACATATTGATCTAACTTACCCTCTGGGTTGCAATAATCACGGAGAAGATCTGGCCAGTTGCATGAGTGAGTTTTGTCGTCATAGGCCAGACCAGGGTCGCAGTGGTTGATGTATGGGACTCCATCAGCACACTTAACGTAGTTGGTGGAGCAGTGAGGTCCTTCGGGGTAGATACCGTACCTGAACTCACAGCCTGGAGAGCTGAGAGGGACAACTGTAAACATATTAATAATTAATATATAGAAAATATTAATTTTGTTAAATAAAATTAGCTTAAAATAAATAATGACATAAACTTCGAAATTTAGACGAGGGAAGAGAGAACTCTTTGAGAAATAAAGCAGCTGTGCAGGAGAACCAATTAAAACTTTGCACTATGAAAACATTTGACTAAACAAAGTAAAAATGAATTAATAAAAAATGTATTCATTAATATTTGAAAATATATATATTTACGTAGTTGGAAATGAGCTCTTATCATTATTATTTAATTAAAAAGGGTATAACAAGCGCAAAAAGAGCTTTCTTTTTTTTTCTCTCTTTCTCAAGGGTACTGACATCCAAAGAAATCTCAAATTAAGAGTGTACAATGCCCTGACAAAACGCCAGTTCTGTTGAATGACTGTGAAACCTGGAATCTATCCGGCAACCTAGAAAACAGAATTGAAAGATTCGAAATAAAAGTCCTCCGCTCGATAATCGGACCTATCTGGAATCAGAACCTTACTTCATGAAGGAGAAGGAACAATAAAGAACTGCTAAAAGAAGCGGATGTCAATATCTTATGAAGACAAGGAGATTAAAATGGGCAAGACAATTAGCTCGAAGCAATCCATCATGACTCCGCTACAATGAATACAACAGTAAAAAGCAAGGGACGTGGAAAAAAAAAAAAAAAAAAAAAAACAGATGGGTAGATAGGGTTTACTAACAAAGAAACTGCAGATCTTCATGCCGCTGGATAACAGTAGCTCAAGAAGATTTGACAAGCAATCTAGGGACGGTAGCTGAAGAAACCTCGTACATCGAAGTGGAGAAGGATAGTCCCGCCAGCCTACAAGGTCCGAAGAGCCAAAAAAAAAGTTAAGTAATTAAAAAAAAATTAAGAAAAGTAATTATTTACATACATTTATGTATAATATGGTTGCTACTATAATAAATCAAGGAATGTGCACATTTTTTCTGAGTACTGGATTTGTGTTCATATGCTTGCTCATTTTTCAAAAATACTTCTGGTAAATTAATATTAGCAGCCACGGGCGGATCTACGGAGGGGAGGGGGGACTTTCTGGCTGAAGCCCCCCAAAATGGTAAAATATAACCATGTTTTATCGAAAAAAATGATCTCTTAAAATAAAATTATTCGTGTAATTACATTTAAAAGGGCTTTAGGAATCATTTAAACACCAGTTCATATAGGTAGTTAGTTTCTTTCTTATTTTCCAAAGTAATTATCGTTATTTTCATGAAAAAAAAAGTTTTTGAGCTGAAGCCCCCCAAAATTAAATCCTGGATCCGGTAGTGTTAGCAGCTAATTTAAAAAAAATATATTTTTCACATTCCATACTCAAACGCGATAATGACATAATTATTTGGTTATATGGTTTTAGTATATATGCTTACCATTAGTAAAAAAAAGTAACCATTTTCGCATTTTATCCTAATATGATCCAAATTTGAATTATTGAAAATTTGGAATTAATTGTTTAACTTATTTATTAATTAATTAAAAGTAACAGAGATTATAGAGTAAAAATATTTCATATTTTATTCTATTTGTTTTGTATAAAATAGTCATCTACCCAAGTTCTTATTAATATTTCGATTATTTTGTGGCTTTAATTTTATGAAGATAATTCCCATTTTTCTTTAAGTGTGGTGCTATGAAATTCATTGATTGAAAGAGGACCGTTAATATTTTTATTCCCGTCCTCTTTAAAATATATTTTAAAATCACGTTCAAAATCAGAAGAGGCTGTAAAAAGTGTTTTGTAGGTAGTTTATCAAAGTGTTTAAGTTAATGCGGAACTTCCATGTGCCACTCTCACCAGAAGTCACTCAAGGACTACAGCACACGCCCTAAGCCACCGATGGCTCCATAGTTGTTAATACTATACTCCTATTCTTGAATTGGATACATTGTTTCCTTCGCCCGTTCTGCCACAGTTTAAGGACCATTGATATATTTTTAAAATGGGAAATTATTGTTAATTATAACATCATAATATTCAATAAAAAATGATCTTCAATAATTAAGCAAACCTTTCACTTTTCAACAGTAGTTTAGCTGGACTACGATTTCCAATAAACAATTTTTGTTACAGTTATGAAAAAGTAATATTGAATTATATTTTAAATTAATAATAATAGACAAATGAATCGATATTCTAGTTCCTAAATAAGTATATGTGGTTCACTAATTTCATTTTTGCGACATGATTCTTGAATACCAGTGGAAATTATAATAATCGAGGTGTATATATATTTTGTTTTGCATACTTGTTGGTATTTCTCAAATATTTACTATTGATAAATTACAAAAATAAATATTGTTCATTTAAAAAATTGTTTTTAGATTGTTGGAAAATAGTGTATATATAGGTATGTATGTTTTTTTTTTTAATTTTCTTTTTTTTTTTTAAGTTATTTTATTTTTTTCATATATATACTTTTTTATTATTATTTAGTTGTATTTTGCTTCTGTTTATTTTATATTTTTTGTTCATATAGTGTGAACGTGATCTTACCCCACTATAACCAATGTAGAAGTTACAGAATGTCGTATTATTAAATAAAAAAAAAAGATTGTTGGAAAATTAAGTTGCCTGTAATTTTGATTATCCTTGATTACCAGATCTTTGGTTGATTCTTTAAATATTTTGGCCTAGTAGTATAAATTCAAATTTACTAATGTAATTTTGCCAATTTTAGTCCAGTAAATGTTTTTGCTACAGGACGCACCTGGTTTGATTTTGGGTTGTTAAAATTTCCTTTTTGATGCAAAATAACTTTTAACATTATTGGTTATATTTAAAATTTAATTTTCTCTTCATTGTCTGTTTTATTGTTCAGTCGTTTTTTGTTCATGAACATTCCTGAGCACCGAGAAAGGAATATATTGTTGATTTATTGCTAAAAGCCATTAAGTGGCACTTCATTGCCATCAAATAAGGCTTCAAATATCACAAGGCTTCGAATCGGACACTCACGGCTAACTCATACGTACCTAATGAAAAAGGGGACACGCCCTCAGTGTCTCTGCTGCGGGGTCAATTTAACAGACTGCCACATTTTGGCTGAATGTTATGCATATGAAGCATAACGAAATGAAGTTGAATTGGAGAATAATATGACTGGAATTTTGAAAAACACCTCCAAAGTGGCAACAAAATTGTTTCTATTTCTTCATATAACGCGCCAATATAACACAATTTAAATTTCGCTTTCTTTTATTGGAAATTTAATTTTTTAAATATTTTGTTCTTTCTACAAATTTATTGTCTAATTTCATCTAATTTAATATAAATACTTTATGAGGGCTAAAATGATCCATAAGAAATTGACGAACGCCGCATTGTTATAAATAAATAAAGTTTTAGCGATAAGGTTGAAATTCACAAAAACGTTCTTAAAAGTACATACAGCTCTATCAAAAATGTACTCAGCGACTTTTTGCAATAAACGTTCTGTATTTGAAAAAAATAAGGTTTTACAATTTGTACATTTTTGGCATATTTTTGCTGAGATTACTTGAGGCTGTTCTTTCATACTTCTCTGTCTGATTTTAAGTCTATACCATTTTGTATTACAATGCTTAGGGATCTTCGTTTTCACTCTCTTTCCAAACATTCGTTATTAATTACGAGAAGAAAAAAGTCCGGCTTATATTTCAAAATTACGCGTCTGTGAAAGCAAGTAAGCTCATGACATTTTCACCGGGTACAACTTTCATATTCCCCCTTCCAGTTTTAGTAACTACCAGTTCCATTCGACGAGGGAACGTATCAAAAGAGAACAGCACATTTCAAGGACGTCAAGAGCGAGAGTTTTAAATTAACTGCTGTCTCGTTTATAGACTGCTACTTTAAGGTCTCGTAAATACCGTTCAAATATAAATGTTTGTTTTTTTTCGACCTTACGAAAGAACACATTTAAAAAGAAGCTTTATAAATTCTTGCATATTTATGTCATTCCTTTGCATATTTATCGTTCTTTTTAAATAGAGAATTCGGGATTATCAGATATTTGAAAATTTAGAATTTCAAAAGCCTTTAAAACTGTATCTAAGCGCAGGTAAAAATTAGGAATACATAAAATTTTAAAAAGTTATATCAAATAGTGAAAACAAATAAATGATGCCAAATTATCATATATAACAAATTTGCTTGTATTAATTTTACAGTTTTAAATTTCAATAAATGAATAATAAAAAATATTATAATTTCGTTATGTTATATTGAATATAAACTATATCTGGATTAGCTTTTAATAAGTTTTGTAATTATTTTTTAATACCATGAGCTAGTAAAGAAATAAAAAAGGAACAAAAACATCAAACATACGGGCTAAAAGCTCTTACCGAGACACAACACTATTGGAATATATTTTTTTATTTTATCTGCTTTACTGTTTTAAAATTTAAATAATGAGCGAGTCAATATTAATCCTTTACGTACTTCTCAAGATATTATGAAGGATCTTTTATTCTACATTGTATATAGCAACTCCAAATCGTTGACTATACTGACGATACAACAATGACTGAGACAGAAACTAAAAACATACTTGTACTTACTTAATCCTACATAGATGGACATACTATTTACAGATAGTCTTTTCAATCCAAAATTTTAAGACTAATAGCAGACCAGGATTAGGTGCTTCCTCATGCCTTTAATGCCAACCATTCAATTCAAAAGCAATTCTGCTGATTGTAACTATCATGGCAGCTGCGGATAAATATTTAAAGAGAAAAAATATTGGAACATTATTGTGTAATCTTCATTTTTATGTAACGAATATTTTCACATTTTATGAATTAAAGGGATTACCATAATTTCTTTATCTTATTGTTTCTTTTAAAATTTACGTACGGACTGCCTTCCTTGGTCCGCACTCTACAGCCCAGTGGTAGTTGCAGTGGTTGTGCACAGCTCCTTTTCCGTCGTAAAGGAGTCCGTTCTCGCATGTCTCCAATGTAAGGGTTCCGTTGGTACACAAGAAGAACTGGTCGCAGGCTTCAGGGTGGTGGTACGTCTGGACACCGTACTGCTCCGGGCATCCTGGGGCGTCCAAGAGAGGTACGCTCAACCCTAAGGCAAGCAAACCATTAAATAACAAATAAAAAAAATTAAATAATAAAAAACTAAAATGAAATAAAGTTAATATATTTAATAGAAATGTATTTAATTTAATGTACTCAAATTAGAACAGTTTGAGTAAAATTGAAAGGACCGTTTTTTCAAACATTCAAATTTTTAAAAAATAAAATATAAAATTTATTTTTAAATAAAAAATAATATCTAAGAAGCACCCCTTCTTTTATATTGACATATAAATGGTCTCTATTTTAAATATAACTTTTTCTTTAATTATGCCTCTCTTCTTCAGCTTCAACCATTAGAGTTCTAGCAGCTAGGTATAGTTCTGATTCTAATGCCCAGTAAGCGAGAGCATGCGTTCAAATGTGTTGCATCCATGACTGCTTTATTTTGTTAATTTAAAAACACTTTGTGTTTATAGCAAAAAAATTAAATGAGAAGGAGTTGATCGGGGGGTGCGGTCAAATAAATACTAAATTAAACAAATAGTATTATTTAATTTTTGCCGACGTTTCAACCCACTTTGCAGGTTTTCATCAGAGCGTAGGATGTAGCACTGCGGGAGTGCTTCAACTGCCTCCCGCAGTGCTACATCCTACGCCCTGATGAAGACCTGCAAAGTGGGTCGAAACGTCGGCAAAAATTAAATAATACTATTTGTTTAATTTAGTATTTATTTTACTGCACCCCCCGACCAACTTCTCATATTATATCAACGGACAACCATCTCTACATCATTATCAAAAAAATTAAAATATGAAAAAGTGGTATGATATTGTGATTATTTTTTAGATTTCTTTGTTTTCATGAAGCCATACTATCGTGTTTGTATGTGAACTTAATAGATAAGATGAAAAAAAGGATACAAAACAAAAAATTAAAAGATCATTAATATTGAGATACTGGATCAAATTACCTCTTTCACACACACACTTTCAAATTTGAACGTGAACAGGTTCAGGGTGGCGTATTGCAGCACCTGCGTGAAAGGAATAAGCAGTTATGTTTTTTGGTTTGAAATTGGCCAATAACTTTTGCAACGGAGCCAGGTATCGGGGAGTTGCTCGCAGAGACTTTAAGATATTCCCAGAGGAACTCCTAATGTGGAGGGCGAGCCCCCATGGCCGAACCTTCGGCAATTACGGACCTGCTTGGCTACCTTTCTATATTACGTTATGACCTACATTATCCGCTATCCAGCTGCCTGTCAATTGCTCCAATTAAACATGTCATATCTCCCCGAAATAGTTGTCGTCTATATTTGTCTTCGCAAGTCTGCGAATTTTTCCAGTTTCAGAACTCCATTGTGTGTTTATTGGGACACTCCTCAACATTACTAAAATAATATTAATTAAAAATTTTATTCCCGTACTAGTAGTCCACGGTGCAGAGTCATTTTTATTAAATTATTAGCTCTCATGGAAGACTTTGTGAATGAATTCATTTTATCGTAACTTACAACTTTTTCATAATAAAATTTTCAGAAATGGGTTTTTTTTTTTATTCAATTATTTAATTTAATGAGGTATAAAAACTGATAAGAATACCCATTGGCTTTCCGCTGTAAAACTACAAAAACATTGGGCCGTTTGGCTCATATAACTTCTTTATTTTGATATGTTAGGGATAGAGGTCGTGGCAAATGGGTGTTCATGAGTAAGTACCCCATTAAGATGACAAAGTTTCCCAATCTCCAGATTGAATTTTTGTTTATAAAAAAGTTGTATGTTACGCTAAAATTAAGCTATTCACGATGTTTTTGATGATTGGTTATAGTCTGATAAAAAGGGATCTGTTCTACAGAAAATAGATCAAGGGGCTAAAGTATTTTTATTTTAAAAAGCTCCATTGCATTATTTCAATTTTCATTAGAAATGATTTTTTTCAAACTTTAGGTTGCTAATGATAAGATGGAAAGAAAACCTCATACGGTAGGTACTATGCGAAGTCTGGATATGACTAACAGTCCGTGGTACAGACCCTTTTTTTATCCAATTATTAACATCAGCCTGAAACATTGTAAATAGTTTCATCTCATCGTAACCTATAACTATTTTATTTACGAAAACTCGTGGAATTGGGGGCATTTTCAATCTGTAGGTGGACAAACTTTGTCTATTTAATTAAGCACAAAAAACTCGTAAATACAAATTTGATTCTACCTGGATTGAACCTACTTGGATCGTAAGATAATTTGGTCACAAAATCGATAAAAAAAGTGGCCTACAGAAATATTGGGCCGTTTGTTCTATATGACCTCGTTATTCTGAAAATTTGGGGGTGTAGCTCCCACTATAAGGTACTATAAGGTATCAAAATGAATTACGTTAAACTTTACTCATTAATCCTGACCTAAACTTGTGAATTCTAATACTTTGGAACAGGGGTACTTAAATTTGAGTTGTCCGCGAACTCCCTTTTGAACGATTTTTTTGCACACTGTATCCCGACCCTTGGTATTATACGTTTTGGTAATAACTTGTGGAATAACAATGTTGAGTTATTTGAACACAAGTAGAAAGTTTGAAGATGCGATGTTAATATTTAATGTTTTTCGTGGATCTCTCCTCAATGGCTTCACCGGATTTAAGAAAATATCCTTGGAAATATTTTCCAAAATATATTCATTCTATAACAATCAATCTACAACATGCAGCTTATGAAGCCTATACTTACCTCATGATGAAAGTTTCTATTATAATATAAAAATAAAATGAGCCATGGTTAAAAGGAAGATGTACCCAGTGTGACATCCGTACGTCTTGGATTGTATTGTAGATCATTCAGCACCAACAGTTCCTTTTAGCGTCGTTATTTAAGGCAGAAGGCCTTAACTTATTTGTTAGTTACCAGTTTTTTCACTGGTTCTTTACTAAAATTGATGAATCTTTGGAGTAGAGAGATAAGTTCTTATTACAGTGTCCATTTACTTTTACTAAAACATTGATTGTATTGTTGATATTTCTGACTCCTTTTAGTTTAGGCTTAAAAATTATTCATTGAAAAAAAAAATTCAAAATATAATTGTAGAATTTAAACCTTTGTAGCTATTTTTTATTGATTAGAAATGATATATCTATTTTGAAAAAAATAATTCTAAAAAATAATAAAATAAAAAATAAAAAAAAATTAAGAATTTTAAAATATTATAAAAGGTGGTAAAGAATTTATTAAATAATTATAATTAACATTATTTTAGGATTTTTAAAATTTTAGTTTTCATGCTTTTTGGGTTTCCTCCCCAAATTCTTCAAAAATAAAATATTTTACTGGTATTAAATATATATAAATTACAGCATTTGAATAAAGGGAACTTAAAAGGCGATCCATTCATCACTATATGAAGTTGCAAATTTACGGCATTTGCAATGCTTACGCAATACACCTATGTTCGTGATTTCAAAGTAGTAATTTCCTTAAACGATTCTACCGGTTTATCTTCTTGCAGCCCTACTTACTTTTGATCCTGAGTAATTATGATCAACGTTAGGTAGTTATTAAATAAATCTTCTTAGCCGTCAAGCTCATCTTGATAAGCAGTACCAGTATGTACTATTTATTACTGAATCGTTTTAATACGCCAATAATATTTTGAATAATCTTTCATTTATTTCAATGATTATCATTTTTTGTTAATTATTGAAGGTCACGCTGGTGGTCTTTGATATGACGGTTTTCAAGGCTCGGATAGAGTTACGTTTTATTCACATTTTTTTTCTTAGAGTTTATTTATGATGTAACACTTGAACATTTCATAATGCATATTATATATATATATATATATATATATATATATATATATATATATATATATATATATATATATATATACATTTCATAATATATTGAATATCTTAATGAATTCTGATGTACCACACATTTGTTCATTAGTAACAACTTATCCTAACTGCGTGATAAAGTTAAGTTTCAACCTTCATTAACTTTTAATTATCAGCTATTAGTGTGAAGTTTTTCCAAACTCTACTGTGACGAATGAAATGGACAATTCTATAAGTAGAAAACAAAACAATATCTTCAGATGTTTAAGAAAGGAAAGGTATTCTTTAAGGCTTTCTGTGTTGGCTACAGCAGCTAAGATCTTCTTAAAGTAAAATTATTTCGATAAAATATTAGTAGACATCGTCAAAGAGAGAACAGAGGAGAATTAGACGCTTCCTAGAGCTTCTGAATCAATAATTGGTCGTTTGAGCTTGATTCTGATCATAATACCTCTTAAGGAAGCAGTGTCATCCAGATTTTTCATGAACGTTTGTGATACAAATTGATTTATGTTATTTTTGACAATAAAATTTATTCAATTGAATTATTTGCGCATTGTAATCGTGCCAATGATTTGAGAAAAGTTATTTTTTTAAATAGTAAAAAAAGAAAATAAGCGTATTCTTGTGCTGAAAATAGTTTATTCCGGTCGCAAATTCAATAATATTGATGGTTGATGGATTGTTATGTTACTTTTTTAGTATTTACTTTCGTAATGGAAATGGAAAGAGACCTCTTTCAATGCAAATAATATGTTCTTTGACGTTTTACAGATTAGTTAGTATTTAAGAGAAGGGAACCAATCAATGTCGCACGTGTTTTGAATAAACCCAAGTCGAAGTTAATGGCCTTATAAAATCTGGAAACTTTCAAATAAGCATATTTCAGTTTTTGTCACACACCTAATTTCATTCGTTTTATCCACTCCAAAGTATTGCTCTTATATCAGTAGGTTGATAAAAAAGAATACTTTTTGGTGGTTTCCTTTCCTCATTTTTTAAATACAAAGATCGCTTTTATATTTCCCATATATTTTTTTTCAACTTCGAATTTTCATCATCCAGTAATTACTAATCCCATTCAAATCAACCTCTGACTCAGTGGATTGATTTCCTTCTATTAAACGCTGTCCATTTGATAACGAACATTCTCTTTTTTCGTGATTTATGATCTTGGGTCATTATTGATATTATCTTATAGTATCACCTTGGATACCGTTGTTCTCCTTTCAACCTTGAGATAGCCAGGAACCAGAAATTTTGCTGCTATGTGTGACCTTTTACTATTTGTAACAGCTGGCTTTTCAAGATTTCTGTATGCCTTTTGCAAGATTACCAGTCCAATGCTTTATAGCTGATCAGATGTGTTGAAATATAATTCTCATATTGGTTCTAAATGTCAAAATATTTTACCTGTTCATAAATATCAACAAGGTCAATCGCCATATTCGACCTACCTCAGACCATCAAGTTTTTAAATTTTATCAATAATTGGTCATCCATATAATGTTTTGTTAAAAGACTCATATCCAACAATGCATTATTTACACCTCCATTGAAATCTTTGTGCCAGAGAAAAAAGTAGCATGATGCCTGAAAATAAACCAGAGGCTTGGTGTTTGGTTATTGAAAGGAATTTTTCCATATAATTACATAACTCACTAAGGAAGGTCTATTGTCGGATCTCTGAAGGTAACCCTTTGTTGTGGGGTTTATGACAGGGAAAGTGTCAAATGTACTTGGCTTTCACTTATGGTTTGACATTTGTAAACAGATCCCAACAGTTACTGATTGAATTCTTAATGATATATGTATTCCACCATGAAAATCATCTGATTATCCCAACTGTGATATTATTAAAAAAAAACTACTTTATTATTTATACTTAAATTATTTTGCAGATTTATTAAATATCACACTGGAACAATTTAAAATTAATTAATAAATACAAATGACACATTAAATTTTTAATCGACACAATAAATTATATTATTAAACGAGTAAATTTTGGTCAATTTAAGAGACTTTAACGCTTGATGTATGGAGACTTTAATGCCGCAATTACTATGGATATGCTAGCTAATAATTAATTAAATTATAGATATATCACATAATGCATATCCTGATATTATAGACTTACCGTAGTGTGCGAGTCCCAAGAGGATGCAGAGAGCGTGTGGGAGCATGGCTACTTGCACAATGTGGGTCTGTGGGCTACCTACCCCGCCGGTGCTGCCCTCCCCTGGAAAACTAGAGCACTCCCACTCCGATAATGCGTTGCGTCACCCCCACCTATGTGACAGGGGTGGTCAGTCTTATCATATTTCAATAAACATTGGAAAAATGAAAGAAAATGAGAAGTGAAAGGCCGCGGGGAGAAGGTAATGCGACCACAACTGTCACGTGGTTCCTCCCACCAATCGCTGACCGAGCCCTCAGCAGTCGGAAGAAAGTGCTGTTCTAACAATAGTTACTCAAAAGCTTTTTTATTGACAAAAGAATGATGAATAAAATGTGTTTTTCTGGTAAATAAACGTGAATAAAGACTCAAGTTCTTAAAAGTCCTAAGAATGAAATATAGAGCAAGTTCCTAAACTCAAAACTAATTCCATCGAAGGAATCTATCAATCGATTAAATCCAGCAGTAATGGACAGTGATCCATGCTGACTTTATGAGGAATGACTTGCTGGACTCCAGGTGAAATTTATCACTCCGGAAAGGTTACAAAACATATGGAAAAAAAATGTAGACGATATAGAATGTAAAAAGTATAATTTCAAAACTGAAATAAATATAGATACAAAATAAACCGACTTTAAATATGTAATGTATATTGATGAATACTAACACTCAAGTTAAAATGAGGTTATAACTAACAGATCTATTAAATCCTATGAAACCGCTGAGCCATGGGTGATTCAATCCATGGAGAAAGAAACGCTCTGAATTCCATGTGGATCCATCGATGATTTTGGGAAAGATCTGATGGATTCTCGGTGCCTATCAATGAAGTCAGAGCTAAGTTTAGGACTTGTCCAACAGTTTTTATTAATGTTCCAAACCTCATGCACTCAGTATTATTTTATTATCAAACTATATTATCGTGTAAATTTACTGTTTTAAGATAGATCATCATGAAGTATGATAAAAGCTATATGATTTCCTATGCTTCCTTTAATAACATTTTTTATTCATTTATTGAAATTTATACCTGTATAAATAAAATACAACAAGCAAATCTTCTGTAAGGATATAAAACATAATAGGAGCTAGTTGAAGAAGTAATTGGAGGCCCTCAATCATTATTTTAATTTAGAAAGTCTCTTGCTTATTTTCTTTTCATTCGCGTCGGAGAGTTGTCTGGAATCGTTTTGGATGGTAGATTATGAACTTTGTGGATGGGTGATGAGGTTGAGATAAAAAGATAAATATATATATATATATATATATATATATATATATATATATATTCTGATTTATTCTGTTTCTAAAGCAAAAACAAAGTAGAGAATATAATAAATACTATAAATTAAAATCCATTCCGACATTGACGGAAAAAATAAAAATGGTTTTAAAAAATATGATCATTATGAATTCAGGTTTGGGCTATTCAACAATAATTTACTAGAAATAAATATATCCAATATGAAAGATAGAATCAATTCAATAGATAAAAATGAAATATATAAAATTACCTGTATATAATGTCCCAAACATTATATAGCTGAATCATCGCAAAATTTACGAAACAGAATAAAGCTACACAAAACTAATGTTAAAATCCTAAAAACAAAATAAGCATACATTTGATTTTAATGATATAAAAATTTAAAGTACTGCGCAAAACAATAAATTAGAAAAACCCTAAAATCAATTTATATCAAACAGTATAAATAATAACGTAGTAAATTTCAAATCCCATGTTAAAAATATAGGTCAACATTATAAATAATAAACATCAACAGAACTACATCCCATTTACTTACTTAGTTAATTCCTACAACACATACTCTAAAGAGCTCACATGTGCAGTCAACGTTAAACAGTAGATGTAGAATGTAGTACCGAGTTTCGGGTTGAACATTTAGTTTAAATAAATCAAAAATATAAAATAATAATAAACATTGTTTAGTTTCTGAAATAATCGCATACACATATTTTTACTTTCACTTACCTATATATGTAATATATAGTAAGGAAAAGTATAGCAATCGTGAAAATTTTCGATTCTCAGATTTCAACGGAAATGCACGTTTTGAGGTCTCCTGAGTCGAAATAACCAAGTCTCACAAAATGGTCTGTGTATGTGTGTGTGTGTGTGTATTTTAACAGTCTACTTTAAAAACGAATAATATAAGAAACTGATATTACGTATTTAAGATAGGCATATGCCCTATTTCAAAAACCTAAAAAATCCACTGAAAGGCTATGACATTGTTTAAAAAACTATTTCATTGTACTTGTGTTAAAGAAGTGAAAATATAAAGATATTTCATAGATGGGTAAGACATGTGTTTATAATCTTAAATACATTTACTGTATTTTAATAACTCTAGATCCAAGATTATATTTAAACAATTAGGTGTACATCGTCGATTTATTAAAAATAAATTACTTTAGTGAAATCAGATTATACACGACTTACGGCTTATCGATGTATTTTAAGAACATGTTCCAAGGCCAGGTTAAAAATATTAGAGGATAAAGAATTGGTTTCCTCAGGCCGTCCATGACATCTAACTTTTCCGACAGTACTCCTATCCAGCACAGCAATCATCTGCCAGTGTCATTAATTTTATTAATCCATTACCATTGACGTTGTATGCCTTCTCTTTGATCTCGATTTCGCTGTGGTACTGAATTATCCGATTATTTTTCAATCGAGGCAGGAGTTCCACTAGGCAGTAGTCAGATCTTTTTACGGCAGATATCCAAGTCCATCCCGATACCCTCCTGGCAACGTTCGCTAATGGTACTGTTATTCTTTCAACATACTCAGATCCTGATACCGTATCCTTTAAATCTACCAATACACCTCTACCTGATTGAACACTGGTAAAATGGCACATTAAAGTAAACGCTTCCAAATCCAAACACATTACCTTCGCCATTTGTCGTAAATCCTGTTCACCAGTTTATTTTAACTCTTAGCTTCCTTTCTCAAACCCAGTCCGGTATTTTGGCTTTCTCTTAGACAGGCGACTAAAGTGGAAACCTCATACTACACTTAAAAGATCGAAACTTAACCGACGACATGGCCAACCATACAGAATACTGAATAGAAAATCTAAACTTTTTGCTGGTCTGTAATACAATCCTGAAACCTATTTTGGACCTTTTGGCATAGCAAAATTTTCTAGCATCTAACGTATCCAATCGTATCAGTCCAAAGTCCTTCGAACGATAGTCGATGTTCCATTCTAGTAACCAACAAAACCCTACTACACCATGACCTCAACATTTCATTTGTCCTAGACCTTATCCCAGAAAAATTCTCTAAATTTCACCAAACTTTCATCATCCAAATCCCCTTTCACCACCCATCCTTATAATCCCTCCAAGAAGATTAAAACGGTAGTAGCTCCGCGACCTTTTGTAGTATGTATCTATTAGAGTTCTGGCAATGACCAGATTCTTTACTCTCGACATGAATGTATGTTACTAAAACCCTCTCGATTAATCTCCACTGGCTTTAGTACGATTGACGTAGTTCAGAGATTAGCGCATAGATCCCTTGAGTCCTGCTTTTCCCTCAATATTTGGAGGGACAAGCCTGCCTCGGAGTTTCTCCGTCTGATTATAAATAGTGTATATAGTTATGTATGTATTTTTTAAAATGTACTTACCTTTAAGTTATTTTGTTTTTATTCATATACTTTTTTATTATCATTAGTTGTTATTTTGCTTCTGTTTATTTTAAATTTTCTGTGTACATATATATATATATATATATATATATATATATATATATATATATAGTGTGAATGTAGTCTTACCTCATTCTAGCCTTTGTCCAAGCGACAGAATGATATATTCCTCAGTAAATAAATAAAATTCCGTTGCACTTAATGCTAGGTTTGTAACCGTTTTTAATTTCTCTCATCTATCTATATGTTGTCTGGTTTGTACAAGAATTTTCAGCAATTATTCGGTTCTATTAGTGTTGCCCAAAATCGGTCTTTGCAAGACCAACACAGCCTATCTGTTGCAAGGCCAAGACCAAGACTGGTAAAAAAAATCAATTTTTCGAATAAAAATTGAGGCAAAATAGTTACTAATACTTGACAATTTTAGTTACTTTATGTAAAGAATTGGTCTAACCAATATACTTTTGCATTTAACTCTTCTAATTTTTCATTTAGACTTAGTTAGATTTCTCATATCTAAAAAATTATAGTAATATCTCTCTAGTAATAAGCTAATAGATAATTTCAAGACTGTTACGAGAGTCTTGCACAAGAAGAAGACCTAGACCAAGACTGGGATTGCAAGACCAAGACTCGTCTAGGTGTTGCATTTGGGCAACACTAGGTTCTATATAGCAACATTTTCTAGATTGTCTCGTATTTCTTATTACTATTTTCATTTTTACTCCCTCCTAACTTTGTCTCACACTCCTCACCAATCCACCCATTTCTTGCCTCACTCTTGTTTTCTATTAGTATCCCATTGATCATCTACATCTTTTTCAAATTTCAAATGCATTATTTATTATTTAACTATGCACGTTATTATTTAAATATCAGTTATTTAAATTTATCAATGAACGTTATGATTGCATGCTCTAGTATCCTGCGTGAGCGTGGGGAAAGCAGAACCGCCTCTTATGAAAGGGTGAGACGGTGCTTGCGTCAACTACCACACCAGATCGTGGACCATTGGTTCATTGTTCTCTGTTATATGTTTTCTAGTCGTACCGCATTATCTCGCCCGTAACGGGGTAATTGAATTCCTGCATAATTCATTATCACTGTTAGCATTGTCTGAAATCACTAATCAATTGCTACAAATTAATAGGTACCAATTAAAATTCAGCTAACGTTTCTAAATGGGAAAAGGTGGTTTGACTTGTATGATTTCTTAAGGGTCGTTTGCTAAAATTTAATTACTTGTAACCAGGTAAAAATATAAAAATCTGGTATGTTCACTCACACGATTTTCCTACCATTTTCAGAAAAGTTTTTATATCTTACCATATAAAGAACAAAAAACAAAACAAAAACCAACAGATACCAACAAGAAACAAAAAAAAAAAAAATTGAATTAGGTTTATTTTCCTGAAAATTGATCAAAGAAAAAATTTGAGTAAGATTTATTTGATAAACTAAAGCAAATTAAACCGG